CCACCATATTTTGCAAATAAATTCTTTAAAAATCAGACAATGTGATTTTCTGGATTTTTTTTTTCTCATTTTGTCTCTCATAGTTGTATATCTATGATGAAAATTACCGGCCTCTCTCATCTTTTTAAGTGGGAGAACTTGCACTATTGGTGGCTGACTAAATACTTTTTTGCCCCACTGTATCTTATCTCCCAACTAGATTTCTGCTTTGAAAGCATTATGGAAACATTCTTATGCCCCCTCAAACTAGCTAATAAATGTACAAGCCATCTGTACATGTTTTTATTTTTACTTTTTCCCAACGGAGTCACACGTAAAATGAATCCTTCAAATTGATTAATTATCCCTTTGTTTAAAACACATTTTCCTTATCAAAGGTGCAAGGTTTTTTTTTTTTTAGATAAACTGATCATATTTTCCGAGTTTAAGCTTTATAAATCATATTAAAACTGGGAACTCTACTCTATATCAATTATTTGTTTTTGATGACTTTTGTAATGACGTTAAATAACTTTACAATGGGTCTGTGTGACTCTCATATTATACTGAAATAAAATGTAAAAATCAGTTAACTTTTTTAATTTTTTCAGTGGCCCTAATCCTCTTCTGTACAGTTGGCAGCAAAAATTAGTCTGGCAAACTATTGTATAAAATCAAATATTTTTTTCCCTCCTTTTCCAGATTTGCCAATTATAAAGCCGATCAGTAGGTGGCGATGATGAGCCGCGGTGTTTATTTTGTTCTCTATTAAACCAGGAAGTAGGGTGTCAGCTGACTGAACGATACCTGTGTTGTGTTGTTTTGTTGTGTTATAGCCCGAGATACGCGTCTCTGCGACAAAATGTCTTCGGCTGAATCTCTCAGAGAGTTTATTAGGGAACGACTGACCGCTGCTGCTGAAGAAATATTCAAAGAGTTTGATAAAACCATCGTTCAGTACGAGGAGGAGCTGAATCGGCAGCGAAGGTTCCTGGAAATCTGCTGGACACCTCAAATAAACCAGGATAAAGAAGGTATCAACAATAACTGTTACTCTTATTTTATCTACTATATAGCTTTATTAGTTCTATTGTTGAAGATGGGTGTAACACGTCCTAAGCGGAGCAGTAGGTAGCAATGCTGCCTTGCAGCAAGAAGGTTCCGGGTTCGATTCCCGGGCCCGGGGTCTTTCTGCATGGAGTTTGCATGTGCTCCCTGAGCATGCGTGGGTTCTCTCTGGGTACTCCGGCTTCCTCCCACAGTCCAAAAACATTACTCTTAGGTTAATTGGCTTTTCTAAATTCCCCTTAGTGTGAATGGTTGTTTGTCTCTGTGATGGACTGGCAACCTCTCCAGGATGTACCCTGTAGACAGCTGGAGATGGGCACCAGCAGCTCTCACGACCCCAGCTGGGGATAAAGCGTGTCAATGGATGGATGTTTTACTGCTTTTGTTTTCTTCCAGCAGTATTATCCTTACCTTAGAATATGATCGATCATTATTTTTGATTATTTCCTGTTTTCTAGTGTTGCCTCAGCCATTGTCTTTTACATAGACCAACAGCTGGATCATCAGAACCTACTTATATTGTAACATGTATGCAAATGCATGTTATAATTTAATGAGATTATTCTTGGATTTACACATGGAAATCAAACAATCATTATTTAAACATTGAGCAATGCTTCCACACAAACTTAAAAACCCGGAAGACTTTCATTCTCTGATTTCCAGTTAATTATATAAATTTTCTATTGAATACAGACTTATGTAAGCAATGAACAGCATCTTTTGCTGCTTTAATGTTACAGCCTTTTTGTTTGTTTGGTTGTTTTTTATATCAAGTTATATGATCTAAAACAACACAGGCTGTGATGTGCCAATATGCATCATTTTTTTTGGGGGAGGTTATGTACACCACAATCCTCCCTCCAAATAATATGTGTGCAATGACATTGAGAATGCAGCTTTGACCTCTTCTGATCAGATTATAATTGCCCAGTGTAATTGCACCCAAGTCTACTTGAGCAAAACTTTAGCAAACTTCCACTTGCTTTGTTTAGATGGGGAATCCTGCAAAGTAAGAGTGGGGGTGCATTTGGGTGTATTTATTTATAGAAAATGTATACCTAATATTTCCTGGTTTCTTTGTAGCTCTCTGCTACTGATCCTTGTTTCTTGAAAAAAAAAAATATTTAGATTGATTCAGCTTTTGTACCGTACCATAACAAATTTATTTATAAAGTACTTTCAACACCCAACAGGACTCAAGTGCTATTCACAATCATAAAATATAAATAAACCATTGTTTAGTACGAGGAAGAGCTGGATCGGCAGCATAGGTTCCTGGAAATCTATGATTTCTGTCAGAAATCACACAAGGGAAAAATCTGCTCTAATGGTTTATGGATTAATAATGTAGGTAATGAAAATATTTCATATGTCATCATTTCATCCATATCTGGCTCATTTCTTATATTTAAACAGAGCAGTGATCATGTTATTAATACACTATATGATTCCAGCTGCTTTCTGAGTCATTTTTCTTAATGTGGTTTACGTTGTTAAAGAAATCTGATGTGAATTTTTTATCTGCGGAAATACTAGAAATATCTAAACTGAGAACTGAATGTGTTTTAAGCTTAAATACATTGTACCACTATGTGAAGCGATGTTATAAATGTTGCTAATTTCTTTCTCATAGTCACATTGATCACCATTTTTTGTTGTTTTCTTTTCATTTTTATTTTGCCTATACAGAGCTCCGTGATTTCCAGAGGGAGGAGGAGGCTTTTACTGAGCAGCAACTCCACAACCATCAGCGGAATTCAAGTTTGCACCAAGAGGAGCCTGAACCTCAGCCAATTGAGAACCACGAAGAGGAGGAAAGGCCTCAAACTAAAGAGAAACAGGGAAAACCTGAGCTGCTACGAATGAAAGATGAACAGGAAGAAGTAGTACCTCCACACATGCAGGACAACGAAGATGAACAAAAAAATATCTGTGTTAAAAATGACCTGGAAGCACCAGAACTACCACCTATGAAGGATGAACAAGATGAAGTCTGTGTCAGTCTGGAGAAAGAGCATCTTGAATTAGAGCAGGAGACTGATATCGGAATGGTAAATCTTACCTACAAGAAAAAGGAGCAAAGAAAACACAAACCCAACTGGGATCAGATCTTTGAACAAAATAGTCAAATTCAAGAAGTTAGCAATCATGAAGAATCAGGATCAAGTAGAGATGAAGAACTTAAACACAATGTGAAATCTTCAAAAGTCCAAGGTCACATTCAGAATGTAGACAGTCCAGAAGTAAGAATACAGAAAAAAACTTACATGAATGATAAAATGTCTTGTAAATTTTGTGGTAAATATTTTGCCCGTACTTATTTAAATCAGCACATTCGAACTCACACAGGGGAAAGGCCTTTTTCTTGTTTGACCTGTGGAAAACGTTTTAGTGAGCGAGGGAACTTGTCAAGACATGTAAAAACACATACAGGTGAGAAGTCTTTTTCATGTGTGATTTGTGGGAAAGGTTTCATCCAGCAAATTCATTTGATCTGTCACATGAGAACCCACACAGGTGAGAGGCCTTTCTCATGTACGATCTGTAGAAAAACTTTCACGCTAAGAAGTAGCTTGTGTGATCATATGAGAACTCACACGGGCGAAAGACCGTTCTTATGTCGGACCTGTGGACTAAGTTTTAGTAACAGAGCAGGTTTATGTTACCACAAGAGGATTCACACTGGGGAAAGGCCTTTCTCGTGCCAGATCTGTGGAAAAAGCTTCAGTCAGAAAGGTAGTTTGACTTTTCATATGAAAAGTCACAGAAATGTGGAAATTAGTTTTTGTGCAATTTGTGGCTCATGTTATTCTGAAAGTAAAGACCTGGCTGAGCACATGAAAACTCACTCTGGTGAGCAGTAGGTGTGATCGTGTAATGTTCACAAACACTATTGTTTATCATTTCTCAGGGGCGACTTTAAGATCTTCCAGTCATCATCTATTGCTAACTTTATACATTGTTTTCTTATTTTGCTGAGTTCAAATTCAGGTGCTGCATCCTCTGAAGGCCAGATTAACCCTAAACCTAACCATGCATGCTTTATATAATACATATAATGCCTAATTCTTATCCCAGGAATATGGACAAATTATAAATAATATTCCAAAAACATCGATCAATTTATTTCAAGGTCGCCTCAGTAATATTCCACTCCCTATCAATGATGATTTTATTGAAGGAATCAATATAAGAAAATCAATCAATAATAAGAAAAGTGTCAACAAATATATCATAATCCAATTAAAAGACTTTTCCTATTAAAAAAATACCCCAAAAAATATATCCGTGCATTGACAACCAAATATCTAAAATTAGCTATTCTGCCCATATATAAAGAAATTCATTTCAAAACTTTAAATGACATTTATCCTTATAACCAATTCAGGAGCTCCAATTTTAAAACCACTGTAGACAAAAGTGGTCTATGCGAGCAATAACAGGAATTAACTGAACATCATCTTTTTATCTTTAATTATAGTAAAACCCAGGCATTTTTATCCTCAGTTCATAACTGGTTACTCTCTAGATCCTTAAGTATCGATTTTCTCTGCAATGAAATTGGATATTCTTGCCCAAGAAAAAAAAAATTGTAATTAAATATATATAATTATTATGGCCAGATGACATTTGTGTATGAAAAAATACACACATATCATCTTACCAAAACCCTTCCTATAATCATAGCATTTAAAAATGAAATAAATATATTTTCTTTGTCCTTAAAGAAAATGTCTACCACCAGTGCTAAAAGACTATGCTTTTCTGTCTGAATGTCATTCTTAATTCTTAATCTTTTTCAGTGTAGTAGTTGTTCCTTGTCAATGTTTATATCTTTATTTAATTATCTAATTTACTATTGAAAAGCTTTTCTTTAATTTTTTAAATTATGTTTTAATATTTTTATTGCTATTTTGCACAATTTAACAAATGTTTTTCACTGTTGTTGAATATAAGACATTTTGCCGATATATTTTTTTACACATACATTGTATAGATTTACTTGTATCTTTCTACATCTTTTATATCATTACATTGGCTTTTATTTGTTCATGCCCCTTGTGGTTGTCACCTTTATTCCACTCTGTATTGTCATGAGTGTAGTCTTTTTTCACTTTACAATAAAAAATGAAAAAAAAAATTAAAAAGAAACAGTTTTGAAAAGTTCGGTATTCATTCTTTTCCTGTTGTTTGTGTCAACTCTCACGGTTGCTAAGCGAGCATAAAGGCAGTAAAAGCCGCTGAAGGCTGGACCTGTTTGAATTCACAGCCAAAACTCTTCTGGTCTCCTTATTTTCACAGATCTCAAAGGATCCATACCAGGTAGACCGGGTCCTTAAAAGATGCAGTATGTATGTATTACTATTCTGCATCTTAACTATATATTAAACCACAGAAATCAGCTTCAGAGCCTGATGAAGACTAATACTGATGTTACTGCTTAAGTATAGTTTTTCTATTTCATAATGTGGAAGTACAAGTATTCTTTTTTTTATTAAGATGGATTGCAGTTCATACATTGTTTTTAGGCTTAGCATGCTGATATAAACCCTGTTTTGAAAGGTGTACAGAAATCTGACAACTGCTCTGTATGGAAGCTGTTAACTTTTCTCAACAAAAAAGTCTCAATGCTGCACAATATGTGGGGTAGAAATGTAAAATCTACACTAAATGAAAAAGTAGTTAAAAACATGATGATGCAAAATAATTACATGTTTGGCACCAACTTACTTACCTACTTAATTAAACTTAAAGGGACCTAACACCAGTGACATATCCACTGTGTTTATGGAGTAATGGAGGCGGATGTTTAATAATTGTGGTAGAGCCCTGTTTCGATGACATTATTGATGAGTAATGAAGTCTAGGCAGAAATTCAATTTAAGAAACTCATTGTTTTCCTTTATCCAATCAGCTTTGAACCAAACCTCCACGAAAGCCAATCGGCATCCAAAGTTCATCTTAAAAGGCCTCCAATATGCACCTGTCTGCTCCTGTGCGCAGGCGGTGGATGTGCTGTGTGACTTCATTCAGAGGACACCGTTTCAACCCACCTCCAGCCCCTCCTCCACCATCGTAGCTAAAGCTTCATTAGAATGTCATTCCTCCCAGACTCTTACTGCATTTCCTGTCTCATCTTAACCAGTCCGGTAAAAGACCACCATGTTGAGCCTGGTTCTGCCAGAGGTTTCTTCCCAACGGGGAGTTTTTCCTATCCACTGTCACTCCATGCTTGCTCATCATCGACAGGTTCTCTCAACCTGTGTTATCCAACTGGACTTCCATCTTCCAGGTCCCTGAGTGAAGCTCTAGTATCAGCTCATACAGTCCACTGGATCTCCCCATAAAGCTCAGCATACCGTCTCCCTAACAAGCAGTCTACAGACGGACCAACTTCATCTATCTCCACTCCACCACCAGTTTCAGGCCTGGGGAAACAGCCCTATTCTTTGCTCCTGTTCATGCATATCTGTCAAAATTAAGCGCTATGTTTCCTGTCGAGTTGTGTTTTGAAAAATAGTCTCTAACAGATATTTAAAAAAAAAGTGGGAGTAGTATGCAAAAATATCAAAATCTTTAGTTTTATATAAACCAAAATTTCAAAGGTTCACAGGATTGAAAACTGCACTTCTCTGTATCTATTTCTTTAAAAAGTTATGCCTTTCTATACCTAACATTCGTGTGATACCTTGGCAAAAGTTTGGTTTTATTGACAAAAAAATGCAGTTTGCGCTCGTGTGATTATTATTTTGTCCAGCAGGGGGCGATTGTAAGCCTTGAATAAACCAGAAAGGATCACTGTGTTCGTCAGCAGAGCTAGCTGTAGCTTTGTTTGATTACAGGTTTGATTTGTGACTTTGCAGCAAAAATGTCTTCGGCTCAGTCTCTGAGACATTTTATCACAGAGCGACTGACCGCTGCTGCTGAAGAAATATTCGCAGAGTTTGATAAAACCATCGTTCGGTACGAGGAAGAGCTGGATCGCCAGCGAAAACTGTTGGAATTCTGCTGGAACCCACAAATAAAGCTACAGAGAATAGGTATGAGGTTTACTATGTGTGTTTACTAATCACGGTGGTAGAGTAAAATCCTCTGATTTGAGGGGTGTTTTGGTAAATGTGTTTTTGGTGGCTGCATTCATGCCTGATTTAAAGTTGTGCTACACACAGACAGACGTAGACGGTTCATTGGACGCGGTCGGCAGCGTCGCCGACGTGCCTAGAGGCCGGCCATCTTGGATCGGACCACAGTTCAGACAGCTGCTGTCAGAATGAATAGGAGACCCTTAGATCTCATTTTAATCACATGAAAGACGAGTCAGAGATAATATGACAATAATCTTACATGTCACAACCCCTTAAAAGAACGAAACAATTTTTAAAATAACATTTACGTTATATTACACATATTTATTCAGATTAAAAGTATTTAAACTTAATTCAATGAGATATATGCAAGTTATATATTTGCAAATAAATATTAATATGATAAACAAAGTTTTATATGGATACATTATAATATTATGTTTTACAAATATATATTTATACATAGTATATTATTATTATTTAGTATTTTAAAGGATTGGTCTTTGATAATGTGTATTATGATCTATCCTGTGGACCCCTGGTTTGTTTACAAAAACAACCATGTACCAGCTGACTGGACAAATTTTACAGTAAGCCTTTCTATTTACAGTCGAAACTAGTCCTTACGACGCATTTGTTTACCCTTACTTTAATGGCAGCGCACAGTTGTATGGCGTGATATCCTAAATGTAGGTCTTTGCACGATGCTATCTATAGATTAGCTGGCTAACCACAATTCCATCTGCATAAAATAGTCTGAACTTCTCAATTGAATTTATTTTTTAAAACATCAAACTTTGCGTCAATGTCACTATAAATTATCATGGTTATTTTCCACCACTGTATAATTATAAAACCTATTAACTCTAACATAATCTAATGAATTTTCTTTCCACAGAGTTACATTTTTAAGTGGACCTTTATCATGTAAAACATTATTGAAACACATTTACAGATATCGAGTTTGAGATGCTTCAGGTACTTGTGTCATATAATATGATTTTATTATTTAATTTACCTGAGTGTGCCATGCTAGGCTGAGTTTCTGAGCTGGAGGAGAAGGTAAGGCAGGAAGGAAGGCATAATAACAGAGACCTGGGCATGAGGCATGATTGAGGAACTTTTAAGTCCCAATCTCTTGAGTTCCCTTTGTACTTTCACTGTTAAACATACCTCAGAGGTCTTTGGTTGTTTTTCTTCAAGTTAATTTAGCAAAACGTTTGTGTGAACACTAATCATTCAGTATTTTACTTTAGCCACATTACTTCCTGAAGGATGATGGTTCCCTACTCCCTCCAGTTTTAATAAAAGCCATGGACAGTTCTTACCTCATTTTTAGTTTCTGCATTCTCTGTTAATGTTTTCAGCTGTATCATCGTTTAACGAATTGACAGAATGAGTCTTTGGACATGGCTGTTTAGGACATTAGAAGATACTCATTGCATCCACTGGATTTTAATACCGTGTTGGAAGCTAAGAAATGACTGCCCGTTCAGAAATCATCTAATTGGAGGCTAATACTTATTTTCTTAGTTAAATTTAGGTGGCGACTGTATTTCTTTGGCTAGGCTGAATTGATACCTAATTATCTATAAAGGAGAGAATAGCATCTGGCTTTTTAATTGAGCAATGAGCTGTTCCTCCAAACAGCTGACCATACAGTTGTCTACTACGATTACCATTTTTTATACTTTAAAGTATAGATCTGTGGAGGTTTATTTGAAAATCTGAGGAGTCTGTTTCATATTTAGATTTAAAAAAGAAAAGAAAAAGAAAGTGAGATCTCTTTTGTTTCATCCCTTTCAAATTTTATTTCTCTTTTCTGTTTAGACCTCCCACAGCATCGTTTCTGGAGAAACCAAGAGGATTTAAGGGATCAGCAGGTCTACAATCAGGATAACTCAGGTTTGCATCAAGAGGAACCAGAATCGTTCCAAACGATGGAGAGCCTTGAAGATCTAGAACCTGAACAGATGCAAGAAAAGCAAGATGAACAAGAATTTTGTCATATCAAAGAGGAACAGGAACAACAGCAACTTCTACAAATAAAGGGTGAACAGGAGGAACTCTTTATTGGTCTAGAGGAAGAGCAGCTTGAAATGAAGCAGATGACAAATAATTTTATGGAAATTCCTTCTTATGAGGAAAGAGTCCACAGGGAACCAGACCCAGATGTGGACCACCTCCTTGTCCAAACATCATCTGATGCTGATAACCAAATTCAGGAAGAGATAGATCATTATGACACAAAATCAAGGAAAGAAACACAAAAGAATAATGGGCATCAGACAATCAGTGGTCAGAGTGATGATGTACACAGTCCAAGTTTAACAAAACAGCAGAAAACAAACATTAATAGGAATCTGTCGTCTTGTAACATTTGTGGGAAATCTGTTGTTAGGGGGACTTTAACTGACCATATTAGAACTCATACAGGTGAGAAGCCTTTCATATGTTTGACTTGCGGAAAACGGTTTTCTCAAAAAGGAACTTTGTTTAGGCACATTAAAATCCATACAGGTGAGAGGTCTCACTCATGTTCAATTTGTGGAAAAAGTTTTATTCAGCGATTTAATCTGACACGCCATATCAGAACTCACACACGTGAGAGCCCTTTCTCTTGTTTGACCTGTGGGAAACGTTTTAGTGATCAATTGTGTTTCACTTATCACATGCGATCTCATGGAAGTGACATTGAACGTGAGTCTGATATGTGGACAAGAGTTTAGTGAAAGGAGTTCTTTATTTCATCACAGCAGAAATCACATGATAAAAGCCTCGCTCATGTAGGACCCTTTATATGAAAACTCAACAGGTTATTCTTTTGAATTTTGTCAAGTTTTTTAGATTTTAAAAATTGCCAAAAAAACAGCAAGAGGAATGTTAAGGCTAGGATAAACATATATGTATTTTTGTTTTGCTTCTGTTTGGATTAAAAGTTTTACTGATGGTGTCTGAAGATTATTGTACAAATATATTCTGCATAACACATGATTTTTAATTAATGCTGCTGGCTGACTTATCTTTTTCCACTTTTGGTCACACCAGCAGGGAGAACAGTCCATGGTGGGGATGTGAGGAGTCATTAATGATGTTACGGGCTCGGGACACACAGCGCTGGGATGAAATGCCTTTAATAGAGGAAAGAGGATCCCCGATGATCTTCTCTGCTGTTCTCACCACTCTCCTTACTTTCTTCCAGTCTGAGGCGCTGCAGCCTCCACACCACACAGTTAGACAGCTGGTCAGAACGCTCTCTATGGTGCTTCTTTAGAAGGTGGTGAAGATGGGTGGGGGAAGGTGGGTTCTCCTCATCCTCCGCAGAAAGTACATGCGCTTCTGTGCCCCTTTGACCAGTGAGGTGGTGTTTACATCCCAGGTGAGGGTGTCTGTAATGTGCACCCCCAGGAATTTGGTGCTGTTGACCACCTCAACAGCTGAGCTGTTGATGACCAGTGGAGCGTGGTTAGGCCGGTTTTTCCTGAAGTCCAAGATGATCTCCTTCATCTTCTCCACGTTCAAAATCAGGCTGTTATCTTTGCACCAGTCCACCAGCTGCTCCACCTACTCTCTGTAGTCCAGGTCGTTGTCGTCTCTGATGAGGCCCACCACCGTGGTGTCCTCTGCGAACTTCACGATGGTGGTGAACCTGGGGACGCAGTCGTGTGTCATCAGGGTGAACAGCAGGGGCTCAGGACGCAGCCCTGAGGGGAGCCTGTGCTTAAACTGATGACATCAGAGATGTTCTGTCCGACCCGTACTAACGGAGGTCTGTTGGTGAGGAAGTCTAGCATCCAATTGCGGAGGGGTGTATTGAATCCCAGCTGTTTCAGTTTGCCCATCACATGCTGTGGGATGATAGTGTTGGAAGCTGAACTAAGTCCAAGAACAACCTCCGCACATGGGTGTTCTTCTCCTCCAGGTGTGCCAGGCTCAGGTGGAGAGCAACAGAGATGGCGTCCTCAGTGGAGCGGTTTCGTCGGTTGGCAAACTGGAATGGGTCGAATGTTGGTGGCAGACTGGAGACGATGTGTTCTTTAACCAGCCTTTCGAAGCACTTCATCATGATTGGAGTCAGTGCGACAGGCCGGTCATCATTGAGTGAGGTGACCTGAGGCTTCTTTGGGACCGGAATAATGGTGGCTCTAATTTTATAAATACAGGTTAATAATATGATTTTATTTTGATCCCTTACTAATTTCCAGGCAACATATTTGTTTTTTTTTTTTAAGAAGGAAATCATACATTTATTTTTAAAAAGTAAAATAGTCTTTTTTTTTTTTTTTTTTGGTTATTGTATGTTCCACTTTTGGAAAATCATCAATACTTTTTACTGAGAAGGGAACTCATGGTACGAAAAATTGCCCAAAGGGGAAAACAAGTCAAAAAAGTCTGGGAAACGCTGATCAAGAAGGACCTAATGTAAATATACAGTAACTTTACCGCTGTAATCGCTTTAGTACTAAGAAAATAAAGATTTTACATAAGTAGTGCCAAGGTTGGAGCTATACATAGTCACATCATGTCATATTATGCCTCAGTGGCAAATCATCATACCGGGGAATAGTAATAAACCCAAACCTGCAGTAAATCCAAGCTTCCCCTCTCAGTAAGGGGACGCTTTAACTGTGATGCAGTTAAAGGTGATGGGGAAAATAGAAAAAAAAAAATACTGCTGTCCAAATTGAGCTGACCGCTATCTTTTTATAAACATTGATTTTCTCAGGTTTTCAAATGCTTATTTGCTGCTGCATCATACAAAGACTCACTGTATACTTTTCCATTAAAGTAAATTGAGAATAGAATTTACAATTTTTGAATTTAGGGTTTGATCATAAAGGAACACTGCATTTCCCTGAATTTATCTGTTGAAGGTTAAAAAAAAAAATCTATCTCCACAAATAAACATCATGTGATACTTTCAAAGGGCCTGTCTCTGTGTAAAGGTGTCAGGTTATTTACCAAACAATTCACTGTAAACATACTCTGGTGACATTCTCCTTTTGTCCAGCAGGGGGCGATTGTGAGCCTTCAATAAACCAGAAAGGATCCCTGTGTTCGCTAGCAGTTAGCTGTAGCTTTGTTTGATTTCAGGTTTGGGTTGTGCCTTTGCAGCAAAAATGTCTTCGGCTCAGTCTCTGAGACATTTTATTTCGGAGCGACTGACCGCTGCTGCTGAAGAAATATTCGCAGAGTTTGATAAAACCATCGTTAAATACGAGGAGGAGCTGGATCGCCACAGAAAACTGTTGGAAATCTACTGGAACCCACAAATAAAGCTACAGCGAATAGGTATGAACCATCAGAGGTTTACTATGTATGTTTGCTGATCACAGTGCTGCAGTAAAATCCTCTGATTTGATGGGTGTTTTGGATTGAGGTTAAAAACGGTGCAGTAGGTGTGTTTTTGGTGGCTGCATCAATGCCTGATTAAAAATACGATGAAGATAATTGAGAAGCTCATTGGAGATAATTCAGCCTGTCCAAAATATGGTGAACGTCACAAGTTTGAAGAATTTAAAGAAGTACAAGAAACATGTAGCAATATAGAGCTATGTATGGAGGATGTGAAGTAAGGGAGGGGGCAAAGGAAATCATACAGAATAAAATGACTAAAACATAAGCTATAGAATAGAAAATCAATTTATTGTTCCACAATGGAGAAATTCTGGTGTTAACAGCAACAACAAGTTTATAGAAAAAATGGCCACACAAATGTTGACCTTTTAAGAATAACAATAGTGAAGAGTTAAAAGATAAACAATGAAATACTGTAAAGTGTTTTAACAATATAAAAGCTGTGCACCTGGAGAATAAATAACCAATATACAGCTATGAATATTTTTACAGTAATGGATATATTTGAAAATACCAGCAACATCAGAGATTTGCAAAATGACAGCAGCATGTTATTTAACTGACTAAGATAGAAACTGCAAAAATCAGCAGGAATGTAAAAACTTATTGAGGTTGTTGGGAGCAGTGGTATTTATAGAGTCTTAGAGCTGCTGGGAGGAAGGATCTGTGATAACACTCCCTGGTGCATTTATGGTGCAGCAGTCTGTCACTGAAGGAGCTCTCCAGTTCTCGAGATATGCAGACACATTTAAAAATTTAAAGGAACAGAAGACAAGAGAGAGTGAGCAAACAACTAGTCAAATTCCACAGCAAGACAAAGTACAGTCAGAGGAAAATATCACAATATCAGTAAAACAATATTATCCGTAGCATATGTTATTAACTGTACACAGCAAGCCAAGCATAAAACTAAAATTTAAATGATAATGAGAGGAGCTGAAAGGGTTTTTGGGTTTAAAGGGGCATCATAGGAGAACATAAAAAGTTGGAAGTAGATGGGAGACCAGGACCATCAGGTGAATGTAGTACATGTTAATATTACAATGGCATGCAAGAAATTTAATTGCTAAAGGACAAACCAGAAATCAGATGTGTTCAGGAAACCTTGTTAAAAACAACATTAGATCTGGTGATCAAATTAGATGATAGTGTAAGAAGAGATCGGCAGGAGGGAAGTGGAGGAGGATGTGGAATATTTATAAAGCAAAGGTTACAATATTAGTACAGTATTAGGGAAATGGGATTAACTTGAATATATAGTAATTGAGATATTGAAACAAAAAGAACATTTTAAAATAATTAATTGGTATATTCCATGTAAAACATTGTCAATTGAAATAAGGGAAGAGTTAAAGGAATATTTGGAAGGGAAAGTAATGATAAAATGTTATAGAAGAATTAATGGAAATAAAAAACCTTGTATGTATTAATGATGGGAGGGGAAGAAGAATTAGTCTGAGAACAAAGATATAATCAGTTATTGATTTAATAATTGTCTCAAATATCTTCGCTGGTATATGTGAGTGATTCATTAATGAAAAAGCGGTACGCTTGTGCTCTGAGAAGGTTGCAAGTAACCGGTTCAATTCCCACAGACTGCCACTCTGGGTCCCTGAGCAAGACCCTTAACCCCACACTGCTCTCCAGGTGCCGCACAATGGCAGCCCACTGCCCCCCAAGGGGATGGGTTAAATGCAGAGATTAATTTCTCCAGTGTGAGATTCATAAAGTTGAATTATATAATATTAAATTATATTATATTACAGTAATAAGAATATAAAAGTCAATAAAAATGAATTTCAATAAGGCAGGCTGGATTACATTTAGATACTTTAGTGAAATAAACTTAGGACAAGTACATATGAGAATGGATATAAATGATGTGAATTTAAAAATTTGTAAGATAATCATAGAAGCAGCAGATAATTCTATAAAGAGAGTACGGTGTAAAAATGATAAGAAAATGGTACCATGGCAGACAAAGGAATGTAAGGAAGCAATAAAGTTGCATTGCTACCTCACATATAAAGCAGAAAATAGTGTGGCTTTTTAATTGAGCACTGAACTGTACTGTAAAAAGCTGAACATATAGTTGGCTACTGGATTTACATTTTTATAGTTGTAACTGTGAGTGTTTATCTGAAAATCTGAAGAGTCAATTTCATATTTAGGTAATTAAAAAAACAGTGTAATCTCTGTTGTTATGTCACATTCTGTTTTTATTTTTCTCTTTATCTGTTTAGACCTCCCACCGCATTATCTGTGGAATAACCAGGAGGATTTAAGTGATCAGCAGATCGACAATCAGGAGAAGAACTCTAGTTTACATGAAGAGGAACCAGAACCGTGCCAAATGATGGAGAGCCTTGAAGATCTAGAACCTGAACAGATGCAAGAGAAACAAGAACTTTGGCATATTAAAGAGGAACAGGAACAGCAGCATCCTCTACAAATAAAAGGTGAACAGGAGTAATTGTGTATCGGTCTATCTGTGTGAACTGCATTCATACAACTCAAGTGTCCTGCATATGCAGTAGAGGGTGCAATGACACCACAAGCAAGCATGTTCTGTGTTTACGGAAGTAAACATGGATGGTAGTGCTGGAGCACATCTAGCAATCTTTCCCAACCTCAGCTAGTGCATTAACATCACAATCTTATTTAGATGGTAGAAAATAAAGGCTGCTCTCCGCATTATCGTCCGCCATGGTTAATTGTGTTTCCTACTGCCTCTGCGTAGCAAGACACAGAATAGTGACCTTTTGTCGAGTATTAACGGTATACAGGTTTAATGAATGCGACCTGGCCATTGACACACAGGTCGCATTTGAAAAGATCAGATACGTATCGGATTCAGGACCACATATCCAAGTGATGTTGGTCGCATTGGAAAAAAATTGGATCTGTGTTGTTCAGATTGTTTGTATTTGGGTCACTTCAGGGTGCTGTGTGAACGTAGACTAAGTCTTTCTCTCTTAGACGGTACCTAACTCGACACCTTTGGCTTCAGTGTTGTAAAAATTCTTCAAAACTCTTGCATGTTACTTGTATTGGCATTCATAAACCCACCACCAAGGCCAGGAACTAGTCATGAACAAATAAAGAACATTTTATTGAAAAATTATATATACATTTTTGTTACACTATAAGTGTGCAGCCCATCCTAAGAAAACTTCAATGACTCCCTTGTTCCCGCCATAGCTACTGTCATCTTTTATATATTATTTTTTCTCTGTGTCTGTTTAGACCTCCCACAGCCTCATCTCCGGAATAACCGGGAGAATTTAAATGAGCAACAGATCTACAATCATCGAGAGGAACCAGAACCGTGCCAGACGATGGAGAGCCTTGAAGACCTCGAACCTGAACAGATGCAAGAGAAACGAGATGAACAAGAACTTTATCATATTAAAAATGAACAGGAACAACAGCATCCCCTACAAATAAAGGGTGAACAGGAGGAATTGTGTATCGGTCTAGAGGAAGAGCAGCTTGAAATGAAGCAGATGATGAATACTTTTATGGAAATTCCTACTTATGAGGAAAGATTCCACAGGGAACCAGACCCAGATGTGGACCACCTCCTTGTCCAAACATCTTCTGATTCTGATAACCAAAGTCAGGAAGAGATAGATCATTATGACACAAAATCAAGGACAGAAACACTAAATAATAATAGGCATCAGAAAATCAGAGGTCAGAGTGATGATGTACAAAGTCCAAGTTTAAAACGACAGCAGAACACAAATAAGATTATGCTGTCTTGTAAGATATGTGGAAAATCTGCTGTTTATGGGACTTTGACGGACCATATGAAAACTCACACAGGTGAGAAGCCTTTTTCATGTTTGACTTGTGGAAGAAAGTTTTCTGAAAAAAGAAGTATGCTTAGACACATTAGAGTCCATACAGGTGAAAAACCTTTCCAATGTCTGACTTGTGGAAAAAGGTTTTCTCTGAAAGATACTTTGTCCAGGCACATAAAAATCCATACAGGTGAGAAGTCTTACTCATGTTCAGTTTGTGGAAAACGTTTTATTCAGAGTTTTGGTTTGACTCGTCATATTAGAACTCACACACGTCAGAGACCCGTCTCCTTCTCCTGTCTGGTGTGTGGACAAGAGTTTAGTGATAGGAAATCTTTATTTCATCACAGTAGAAATCACACATGATAAAGGCCTTGCTCATGTAGGACCCTTTGGAAAGGATTATTTTATTAGGTCATTCAGAGATAATCTAATCCATTAAGATCCGAATAGCACAAAATATTATCTATTATTTTCAGTGCTACTTGATTTGTGCAGGTTGAATTGTCGTTTATGTTGATTTGGTTTTAAGATGTTATTACAGCAAATTAACATTGCCATACCAGCAAGCACTAGTGCTGAGCTTTTTTCAGGATATAAAGCTATTGCATAACGTAGCATGTCATTCCTGTGCAGGTATTGAATATAACCGTGGGCATTTTCACCTTATTTAGTGGCTGGAATGATTGTTTAATATTTAGTAAAATCACCAGCCTCCCAGACCCTTCAGTTTGGACCTGCTGTTACCACTGGCAACCCCATTGCTTTTCCTGTTAAGGTCTCGCTGTAGGTGTTTAACAATAAAAGCACAGGTGAAACTTAACGTCAAGGACTGCTGCTAAATTGCTCTTTATGCACAACTTTAGAATCAGTTTTGAGGTGCCATGAATTTCTGGAAAAGCCCAGGAAGCAATGAAAAATAAAAGAATTGACTTTGGTTAATTAAGCTGGATGACTGTCTGATTAGGCAATACCTCCTTGTAAATCTACGCACGAAGAAAGCACCTATGATGGGGAACGGCTTTTTTTTAAAGCCATGTTGAGAGCACTGCTTATTTCTACCTTTAACCTTATTTTGCCAGTATTTCATTTTAACTGAAAAAAGATTCAGCTAACCCCTGTTCCTGATTGGTTGCTGCGTCATGACAACCAATCAGCTACCTAAGATATTATTTTCATGAACAATGTCCATTCATTGGCTCCGGTAAAAATGAGCTACATTTTATGTAAATACATAATGCTACATCCCCATGTACAGTATATATGTTATACTTCTCTTTAGGGATGCTTTTTGGTTGCTATAAGTGAGCCACTTCTACTCCTGATGTGTTTTATTTCTCTTACCTCAAATATGTTTTATTTTCTTCTGTGTTTTATTTGTATGCATTTTTAACAAAGTGTCCCAATTTCATTATGGGTCCATATTTATAATAAAGATGTTATAATTCTGACAGTCAACTATGGTGGTGTGATGTTAGGGGCTGCTTTGCTTAGTTTAGAACTGGATGTCTTTAGTGTCCAGCAGCTTCAGATATTAACACTGAATTATATGCGATATAATTAACCCAATTTGTTGCAGTTTTCTAATCTGTCTAAAGTAGAGTCAAGTGTTTCTATAGCTGCTTCTAGCTGTGACCTTAAGGTTTGCGGTGCCTGTCATGGTGGTGAACAGAGGCACCCAGCATTCAGCAAAAAACAGACAGTGGGATTATTAAAAAAGTGTTTATTTAAAAATGAAGGATCTGCGGTTCTGCAGTAGCAGCGACTAGGGCGTCTAAGGCTGAAACCTCTGGTTTAACAGTTCAGTCCATGCCCAGGGAACAAGGTAGAATCCAGTCAGTGGGCCGCCAACAACATGCAGCAGGGCGCCGCCCAGAGTGTCCCAGGTGCTGCAGCCCCAAAGAACAAGCAGGGGTACAGAGACAGGTCAGGCAAACGGATCAGAACCGGAACAGGCTGGTTCAGAGGTCCAGGAGTCCAAAGACAGTTCACACGAACCGTTCAGATGGGAACAGACAGGCTCAGTGGTTTAGAGGCAGAACAGGTTTGGATCAGGTCATGAGAAACACTCAGGTACTTTAAAAAAAAAACCTCTCACCACTGGCTAGAGAGAACGAGATTATTCTTGCACTGATGTCAAGATGCAAGCACATTAAATAGAGGCAGGAGCAGGTGGATCACATGAGGAGTAATGAGAAAATGGGCAGAGTTAGACAGGTGAATGGAACAAATAATTAAGCCAGTGATCAGTGCCAAGATAATGACAACATTGGTGTCCCCTAAATAAATAATTTCAAAACCATTAATATAAAGCCAAAGATTGCAGAAAAGTTTATTGAGTATATATGACAGTTTGCAGATGATCTAAGATTTACATTTAAAATATGAAAAAACCTACAGTACTCTATTATCGCATTTCAAGTGCATAATATGTAATAATCTTATTTAAGGTTAAAACTCTTGTTCCACAGATAGATCCTCATGTTTCCCTGATTTCAGCTGATTTCTTGCAGTCCAAGATCAAAACAGAAATTGAAAATGCAGCTTTATCTACATGCCACACTTTAACTGGATAGCACTTTATTAAAGTTATTTTTACGGATTGTGATCATTGGGCCTTATGTTTGCTTTGAAATGAAATGTGTAACAGACAAAAGGTCATTTTTGTGCTGTAGTTGTCATAAAAACAGTGAAATAGATGTCTTCAGGGAGTCTCTGAGAGGGACCATTACAGCAAATTAACAATTACATCTATTTTTTCTAATTTAATGAAAGTGTTGCATTTGAAACTGTTCATTGGTGCCTTGTAGAGGCCAATAAAGATGTTATGTTATGAACTAACCGGTTGCTGAAGGAGGTTAATATGCTTGTTTAGTTACCTAGACGGTTTGCTGGCCCTCCACCACAGCAAGCCTCTATTGAGGGGGGGCCACATGTCTCGTCGATAAAAGCGGCAAAAATCCAGACTCTGGGTTTAAAACACTTTTAAATTCATAAATGGTATTGAGGGCCATGGAATAAAAAAGTAAAAAAACAAACAAAAAAACACTTTTAGGAGTGCACTTTTTTTGTCCAGAGCACTACCTAGTGTCTAGCTGTGCAAGTCCCTGTTGTTTGGTTTTTAGTTTTTAGAGGAATGGGTCAACTAGATGTGGGCGGAGATTTGTAAATGGGCATGTGGACGAAAGCGGAATTTTTTATGAATGCTTGGAGAGCTCGACAGAGGAGAGCCAGTAGACAGTTGGTAAAAACGTTTTTTGCCTTACAGGTTACTGGATGGAACAAAATTGCAAGTGATGAGGATGATAAAGGCTGGTTAACAATTTAAAATGTGAAAGAGGGAGATAGAGGAAGTAAAAGGAGAGAAAGGTTGTTTGAGAATCAAGGACATAAACTGGAATTAGAAAAAAGCAGTTCAGATGAAGAAAGAGTTTTGCAAAGGAAGGTTGTCAGAGGAGAAATAAAAATAATTAGATTATAAACAGAAGATAAACAGATTTATCTGAGTCCTATTTTGATTTCCAGGGAAAAAGTAAAGAAAATTAGGGAAGTCAAATTTGTGATGAAATACAGAGATGGAAACTTGGGGGTACTTTGAAAAAATGAGGAGTAAAAAAATCTAGGCATTGGATGTTAGACAAGTAGGGAACAGAGAGGATATCAATATAAAAGTTATAGAAGAGAATAAAAAGGTGAAAAGAGTGATAACAGGAATACCAATTAACAAAAATCTGGGTTTATTTCATAATAACATTATTGGAGGCTATGTTAACAAGATACAGAGGCTTTATAAAAACATACAAGGAAAGGGTGACAAACATGTCACTGCTGATAGAGTCAGGTCTACCAAAAAGAGTCAAAATAGGTTTTATGAGAGAAAATCATTGCAAGAGGAGCTGAAAAGTTTTTGGGATTCAAAAGTTAGTTGGGAAGCTCTGTTACACGGTTGGAGATGGTGGGAAGAACAGGAGCACGTGGAGCATAATAGTTTAAGATATTAATAATAAATAGTGATTATATTATATAAAGATATAGGATATTGGTTTATTATATTATAGATACAAAAGAAGTTGATACATTTATTGGTTAATATACTGTCATTTTGTTCCACAATCCAAACCAGTAGGTGCTGTGATGCACTTTCTAAATGTTTGCCAGCCGCAATTAACCTTCACAAAAGAAGAAGAAAAATGGGCATATTACTCACCTGTCCAAAAAAAGTTAAAAAACAAAATGCAATTCGCTGGGATTTACGTTTGTCCATTTATGTTTTGGATAAGTTATTCTACAGTTTATTTATTTATCGTTTACATATCAGCACCATTTTGATCTCAGTGCATCCTTTTTACCAGCTAAGTTTATAACTGCGGGTAACTGGAAAGGGGGTCAACAAAAAAAATGAAGGATGGAAAGAACAAACTTTATCAATTAATCACTGAAAAAAAAGAAAATTCCTCATACACAACCGATGGTCATTTTAATGTCGTTTATTTAGAGTTCTAACACAACTACTCAAATGAAAACATATCTGAGGTACAAACTTGTTTACAGAGCCATCTTTACCACATTTGTCAACAGAACAAAGATTTTTTTTTTCTCTTTCTTAGAATTCAAAATGTATTGAAAACCAATTCAAGGGCTCAATGAGCAATAGGCTTTAATATAGTTAATTTCAACATTCCATTCAGCATCCCACTTTTCTTTGAGTCCTTATTTCCTTATGTCATACCATCGTTACTTTCCCTTCCTACCTGATGTCTTTTTTTTTCTTTCCTTCATGCAACTCAGTCCTTCCCTGTCACCTTCCTTCCTCTCTTACTTGACTCCGTTGGTTATTCCTTCATTTCCTTCTTCATCCCTCAATTATTCTAGGTAATCTCAGTAACAACATTTTTTAAATACATTTCTTAAAAGTTATCTTGCACTCTTCAATCTGAGAAAAAGAATCAATAACATTCACTTGATTACATCTCACCAGCGTGTGATTGACGGAAAGTCAATCCACAGATCATACATTAGAAACGCCTCTCACCTGTGTGAATTTTCTTATGCTGAACTAAATTTGATCTGCTGGTGAAACGTTTCCCACAGGTCAAACATAAGAAAAGCTTTTCTTGTCCATGAGTCTTCATATGCTTGGATAAAATTCCTCGACATAAGAATTCTTCTCCACAAGCAACACATGAGTGACGCTTCCTACCCTTGTCTTTGTACATATGGGCAGTCAAGTGAGATTTCATAGCAAAAGGCTTTTCACAGAACATACAGTGGAAAGGCTTCTCTCCTGTGTGAGTTATTGAGTGATTAGTCAAATTACTACGGTGGCTAAACAGTTTTCCACAGGTGCCACATGAGAAAGGCCTTTCACCTGTGTGAACCGTCATATGATAAGATACACCTCTTTCACATTTGAAACTTTTTCCACAGATCTTACACGATATAGGCTTTTTACGAGAGTGAGTTCTCATGTGCCTGGGTAAACTGCCTTTATGGGAAAACCTTTTTTCACAAGTCAAACAAGAGTACGGCTTCTCACCTGTGTGAATTCGCATGTGACCAACTGCTTTTGAACTGCGTACATTGTCACCTTGACTTGTGGTTTCAGGGCACCTCTCAATTTCCTTCAACTCTTCCTCTTTACTTTCTTCATAGTCACAATTGTATCTACTTTGCAGCTTTTGGTTCTCGAGTTCAGAGGCAATCTGGATGACAACATTTCCATTTGGATTTGGTTCACTGTGGTCTCTTTCTTCATAAGGAGGATTGACTGTAAATGTATCACTTTGCTGGTCCAGCCCAAGTTGGTCTTTCTCCAGACTGACATCGATCTCTTCCTCTTTAGTTTGAATAGTTTCTGGGACCTGGTGTTCATCTGCCATATGACAAGGTTCAAAATCCTTCTTTTCATCTGTTATCTGCCTAGGCTCTGATTCCTCATGTTCCTCATTAACATGGAAAGATTCTGGTCCTTCTTTATTGTTGTTCATCTCCTGAATTTCTATTTCATCCATGCACTCTTTAATCTGCACAAGTTCTATTTCTTTCGGGTCCTGGCCTTTTTCCTTCTCTCTCTGCTGCGGATCTGGTTCTTCTTGGTCCAAACTTAAGTTCCTCTCCCCATTACAGAACAGCTTGTCATTGACCACCTCCTTCTTAATGCCCCCCTTGCGGCATAATGTTTTCCTTAATCTGTAAATCTCCTTTATAATTCCTTCATTTCCCAATATTCTATTAAGACTCCATTCTTTTCCTCTCCTTCCAACCATTCTTCTCAATTTCTCCCTTTTCAGGTTCATAAGTTTTACAGTTCATCAGTACATGTTCCACGTTTTCTTTCTCTCCACATCCTTCAAGTTTATCATTATTCCCCCTCCCTATTAAATATAAAATGTCATTTAAATAGGTATGACCCACTTTTAATCTGATCATTATTACTTCTTCCCTTCTGTTTCTCTTATTAATATTTCTATTTAATACTGACCTTCGTATTTTATATAATGCTCTTTCTTTCTTATCTTCATTCCACCATTTTTGCCATTTTTTAACTCTTAATAATTGATTTTCTTTCCCCTTTCCCCAAAGGTAATTTTAATATATATATATATATATATATATATATATATACTTATACCTATGTATATATAAAAAAACCCTTAAATTAATATTAGGCTACGAAAGTAGTCCAAATTAAAAAACGAAATATTATCTACGCTAAAACAGGGGAACGCACTTCTGTAAAGAAGTGCGTTCCCCTGCACTTCTGTAAAGAAGCAGGACAGAGTTTTTTGATTTGTGGAACCCTGGGAAATGTACGTTAACAACGTTAGGCTTTCTTTTATTTTATCTTTTAATCAGAAAGCCAAAGGCTCCTTAAAGAAGATATTTTACAAAATGAAACCAGGTGAAACAGAAATGTTTCCTCTTGAGGAGTTCTGAATGGAGAATATTGACAGACAAATGCAAAATGTTTACATATTTTTTACAATCTTGGTATATTTCCTGCTTTAAGTGGGTCACTCTGTCGGCTAAAGGCACATTTTAGTGGCCCTATACTCCAGTTAATGATTAATCAATTACTAAATTAGTTGACGATTATTCAAATAATCGGTTAATATGATTGTTTCAACCCTGGATAAAATACATGAAATGGGCTACACAGAGTGACTACAGCCCAGATGTACAACTTATATAGTGAAGTTAATAT